GATATGACAAAATAATAATTTATAAATTATCAAGGGTTCAGGAGGGAGAGGTGAGCGACCAGGGAGGTGGAAATATGAGGCGCTCATGCCAGGGGCTTATGTGGAGAGCAAATGTTTTGAAAATGATGAGGGCAATGAATGAACAAATGTGCTTTACACAATTGATGTATGTATGGATTGTGATACGAGTTGTATGAGCCCCTAATAAAACGATTAAAAATATATATACTGTCAACTTGACTATCTAGATCTTTTGGTGTCTGGAATACATTTTCTTTGCTTTTTTTCCTACATCCTTGTTTATTTTTCTTTTTGGGGGAATACATTTTCGTGAAGAAACAAAATTCTAATAGTTCCCATTTCAGGTTCATTATAACACTCAAACTAGAATGTGGTAGGTTTTCAGGGAAATCAGATGACTTTTTTGCAATTCTCCACTGTCATTGAGTCGACTGCCTCTCACACTGATCAGAGAGGGCCGAGTAGAATTGTTCCCTTTGGGTTTCTGCTCTGTTTTGGGTTTTCTCATAAATCTTTATGACAGCAGATAATCTCTTCTTTTCCCACAGAGTAACAGATGGTTTTGAATGGCTGACCTTGCAATAACCCACTATGTCTGTATATATTTAAAATATATTTGTATCTTTCTTGGTACCTGTGAGGTTGAGTAGTTTTTCATCCATTTAAATATCATTTCTGGGGGTGGCCGGCTCCAATCCCAACTACATGGATGCCCTCTTCCTCCCAGAAGAATTCACTCCAAAGGACAGCACTGAAGCTACTGCTCATGAAGAGGGGTGCATCTGATCAGAGCATACAGGAACAAAGAGAGAGTGGAACATATCCTGGCCCACCAAACCTGGAGGACAATTTCCTGCTTATTGTCCGTCCCCCAGGGAGGAGGTCACATATAGTTCCTTATAATCAGTTCCCTCTTTCCACCCCACTCTCCCTCTGCCCTCCCAGTATCACCACTCACACCACTGGTCCTGTAGGGATCATCCGCCCTGGGTTCGCTATAGTTCCAGTTCCTATCTGTACCAGTGTACATCCTCTAGTCTAGCCAGACTTGCAAGGTAGAATTCGTGTCATGATAGTGGGAGCAGGGAGGAAACATTGAGGAACTAGAGGAAAGTTGCATTCTTCATCGTTGCTACATCGCCCCCTGACTGGCTCGCCTCCTCCCTGAGACCCTGTACTATATTTCTTAAAAGAATTTGAATATGCACAAAGGAAAGGTGTTAATCAACTTGATAGCACTAGGTTTGTTTTGTTATTGTTGGTATCTGTGATAGGTTTTGTGTCAGGGTTCTCAGAAGTTTTGGCAGTAATCTCCCATTATGTAAGCTAACACGATATAATCAATTTCATGATGGGATGTAACATAATATAATCAACCTTGTGAGCAGCCAGCAGTTGTGGTGGTTTTCAGCACCCCTGATTAAGTCATACCATTGGTGCAATTTGAAGAAAGACTCCTGAGGGAGTGTTTTTTGTATGTGTGTGTTTTGCTTTTAAGCAGACTCCATGGGAAAGCTTGTCACTTTGGGGGGATCTACATCCTCCATGTGATTTGTTAACCTCCTGCTATATTGCCTACTGATCCTAGGAGCCATCTTGGATGGCTACCTTGCACTCATTAGACTCTGCATCCACCAGCCTGTGATCTTCCTGCTTTGTCTTCCTGCTTCTTAGTTTCTCAGTCCACACACAACATGAGTCTGGATATGCCCTGAGCTTACCATCTGACCTACAGACTTGAACCAAACTGGACTTACTTGCTTCTCCAACTTGGTGAACCAATTCTTGACATAAATCTCTTTCCGTATACATACACATAAAAGCATCACTGGTTTTGTTTCTGTAGAGAATCCAGCCTAACACAGTATCTTAAAAGTCAATAGATGCTAGAAGCATTGAGTGAAAGTGGTTCCAGACAAAGACATTCACACAGTCACACTCATATTACAAAGAGGAAAAAGTACCTTTACAATAGAGGAATTATTGACCAAGTAAACAGAGGTTTGCACCACCAACAGAACAAATTGGCGTCATGTAACTCCTGATGTGATAAAGGGCTATTGCCTATTTGATAGTCTTGCCAAAAATGTTTAGACTGAATAAAATTATAAGGAAAAAATCTGATAAATCTGAAATATGAGGAGACTTCAAAAAGTTTCTGGGGAAATGCTATGATCTCTCTCTTTTAATTGTTCCAATAGGAATGCCAGATTAACATGCATAAAGCCAAGAAAACCAACCGAATTTTGATCACTCTGTCTTTGGAATATCCCAACAGGAACAGACTGCCAGATGCAGGCAGATACCATGCAGTGCAATCTATTATCGTTCAAACAGTTGCAATCTATGTTTCAAACAGCTTTATTGGTACTTTATCCACATATCATATAATTCAATAGTTCAATCATATCAAGAAGAGTTGTACAATCATTACCACAATCAATTTTTGAACAATTTCTTCCTTGTATTCATTGTAATTAGGTAATTATTTTTTTAACTGTGGCAAAAATAATACACAACAAAACATTCTCCAGTACAACTTCTGTATGTATGATTCAGTGCCATTGATTATCCTCTTTGTACTGTGCAACCATTATTGATATTCACCACTATTAACATAAACCCAAAGCCTCCTAAGTAAAACCTCTTCCTCTTTCACCCATGGTAACCATGGTCAACTTTGGTTTCTTTCTTTCTTTTTTTTTTTTAGTTGCTTTCTTGATATAAAATTCACATTTACACTTCCAAAGTTAAGTTGCTTTTAAAGAGAGCTGTATATACATTATCACAATCAGTTCTAGTGCTCCCTCCCTCCTCCCCAATTCGTTGTTTGCTCCCCCAATTCCCTTCACCCTCCCCACCCCCTCATCCCAGATAAACCATAAACATTTTGATGCCCTCATGCATAGATTGCAAGACAAGTAGCCTGTATTCTTCAAAATTAATGTTTTATAATAGATAGGGGAGGGGGAGGTATGAAACTGTTTTTCATGAAAGAAAATTAAACAGACAAAACAACAAAATGAACTGCAGGACCTTTAACCCTGAATTTTGGATTGTGAATTGGAAAAAAAGGCATTGGAAGAAATTATTGGGGGAAATTTAGGAATTCGGAATATGGACTGTGTTTTTTGACCAAATACTAAATTTCTTAGGTGTGAGAATAAAATTGTGGTTATGTGTACAAATGCCCTTGTTCTTCAGTGATACAGGCTGAAAAACTGTGTTGAATAAGACATCTTCAAATGAGTCATTAAAAAATATAAGGACATATAATACATGTTTAATGTATAGCTAAGTTCCATGTTAACCGAAGTCCAATTTTTGGACAACTCCCACTTGCCCTTTAATGTTATGTAAATTTACCCTCACTTTGAAACAACGGCACCAACTCTGCTCTCAAGAAATTAATCACAATCCCTTTCACTTGACACACACGCAGCTTTTAAATCATGTAAAAGCTTTGACATTTTCCTGCACTAAAATAAGGCTAAATAAAAACCTGTTCTGACTTACCTATAAGTTCAACATAAAGATACAAGCTGATCTACCTTCATAACCTGAGGACTGCCTACATTAAAAAATATATGAAGTTAAGTCAAAAAGTTTTGCTATAGCAATAAAAAAACTTTTATTACGCAAAAATATAAAAACATGTAGCTATTATTTCTCAATGTATCCTTTCTGATGGCAGTGTTTCTCTAGTACACTTTCTGGAAAAATTCTGCACTCTTCCATTTTTACACCACATCAAAATGGTAGTTTCAGTGTACTTTGAGCTCTGGAAACACAAATGTCTGAAGGGGCAAGGTCAGTGTTGTGGTAAGGATGGAGAAAGCCTTCCCACCATAATCTTCATAAGATTGCTCTTACTCCCCTCAAAGAACAAGCAGGTATATGGGAAAACAATTCCTTGGCACCTTTTCTGGACTTTTTAGAATCTATACAGTTTTCTGAAAATTTCTTTTCTTTGAAGACAATGGGTGCACAAGCAAGTGTGGTGAAGAAAGCTGATGGTGCCCAGCTACCAAAAGATATAGCACCTGAAGCCTTAAAGACCTGTAGATAAACAAGCAGCCATCTAGCTGAGAGACAATAAAACCCACACGGAAGAAGCACACCAGCCTGCCCTGACTCGATCGCTGAGGAAAAGGGGGGTGCATTAGCAAAAGTGGTGAAGAAAGCAGATGGTGCCTGGCTATCAAATGATATAGCATCTGGGGTCTTAAAGGCTTGAAGAAGACAAACAGGCGGCCATCTAGTTAAGAAACAACAAAACCCGCAAGGAAGAAGCACACCAGCCTACCCCGACACGAATGCTGAAGACAAAGCAGGTGCATAAGTAAATGCGGTTAAGAAAGCTGATGGTGCCCAGCTGTCAAAATATATAGAATCTGGGGTCCCACCGGCTGGAAGATAAACAAGGGGCCATCTAACTGAGAAACAACAAATCCCACATGGAAGAAGCACACCAGCTTGTAAGATGACAAGGCGGCAAAGGGATCAGGTATCAGGCATCAAAGACCAGAAAAAAACCCCACAACATAACATTGTGAATGAGAGGGGAGTGCAGAGTGAGGACCCAGGGCCCATCCGGGGGAAATTAGACATCCCCTTGCAGAAGGGCTGTGTGGAGGAGAGGAGCAAATCAGAGTGCAGTGTAGCAACGATGAAATATGCAATTTTCCTCTAGTTCTTAAATGCTTCCTCCCCCCCAGTACCATGATCCCAAATCTACCTCACATATTTAGCTGGACTGGAGGATGTACATTGGCACAGATAGGAACTGGAAATACAGTGAACCCAGGACAGATGAACCCCCCCAGGACCAGTGGAGAGAGTGGCGATAGCGGGAGGGTGGAGGGAAGGAGAGGGAAAAAGGGGGAACAGAGGACAAGGTCCACATATGGCCTCCTCCCTGGGGGACGGACAGCGGAGAAGTGGTGAGGGAGACATCAGGTGGGGTAAGATATGATAAAATAATAATAATTTATAAATTATCAAGGGTTCAGGGGTGAGGGGAAGGGGGAGGGAGGGGGGAAACTGAGGAGCTGACACCAAGGGCTCGGGTGGAAAGCGGGTGTTGTGAGAATGATGAAGTCAACATATGTACTAATGTGCTGGACACAAATGACGTATGTACGGATTGTGAAGAGTTATATGAGCTCCTAATGAAATGATTATTTTAAAAAAATAAAAACAAAAGTTATATTGGCACTTTGTCCACATATCATACAATTCAGTAATTCAACCGTATCAAGAAGAGTTGTGCAATCTTTACCACAACCAATTTTAGAACATTTTCTTTTTCCCCATACTCATTGTTATTCATGTGGGGTTTTTTTTCGTTTTGGCAAAAATATGCAAACAAAAAAATCACCAATTCAACAATTTCTACATGTATAATTCCGTGCCACTGATTATACTCTTCATTTAGTAAAACCATTATTGTTTTCTCACTCCAATAATATTTCTTCATAATTAACTCCCTTTATTTGTCTTCTGTCCTTTGAGAAAAACGTATCGAGGTGATCCCTTCAGAACGCCCCCAGTCACCATAACCTCTGTCTTGAATTTAACTAGCCCAGCAGATCCCTCAGAAGCTACAATTTTCATGAGACCTTTAAAAAGGCGTACCTTAACTAGACGATGAGGGGACTTCAAAAAAGGTTTGTGGAAAGAAATAGAAAAAATGAAAATTTTCTATAATTTTTTTGAAGCCCCCCTCAGTATGCTCAACATGACAGAAATGCCATACCAAATACTTTTGCACAATTTTTTATCGTTATATAAGGAGCCCTGTTGGTAACTGGTTCAAAAACCACTTGCTAACCAAAAGGTCAGCAGCTAGAACCTACCAGCTGGAGAAAGACGAGGAGGTCATCAGCTTTCTTAAAGAAGACAGCCTTGAAAACCCAAGAGGCAATTCTACGCTGTCCTACAGGAGAAATAGATTGTTGGGATCAGCTTAATGGCAACAGGTTGGATTTGTGAGATAAACATCCATTATACTGTTCTTCAACTTTTTTGTAAGCTTCAAAAGCCTGTAAGTGAAAGGCTGAAAAATGTTTACATTTGGAAATAGTTATCAAAATGATAAATATACATTCTCTATGATATAATAATTCCACTTCTAGGGATTTATCTGGGCTCTGGTGGTGTACTGCTTATGAGTTGAGCTGAGAACCACAAGGATAGCAGTTCGAAACCTCCAGCTGCTCCTTCGGAGAAAGACAAGCCCTTTCTACTCCAGTAAAGAGTGACAGTCTCTGAAACCTACAGGGGCAGTTCTACTCTGTCTTATAGGGCCGCTGTGAGGCAGAATTGACTCGGTAGCAGTGAGTTTGGTTTTTGTTTTGTTTTTTTTCGTGTTTAATATTATTCGTTGCAGCATTAGGAGATAATAGCACAAAACTGGAAGCAATTTAAATATCCTTCAATAAATGATGATAACAAAACTCAAATATAATGAAGGAAAAGTAGCAGAGCTTAAATTGTGAATACACAATTTCTAGAAGGCTATGGAGGAGAGTGGGAACCCAGAATCCAGCTTCAGAGTATCTCGTCAGATAAAGCATCTGGCCACAAGCAAGGGCCTCGAACAGCTTTATTATCAGACACAAATGACTGTACATTTGATTATGGTGGATCAAACCATGGTCTAATACGATACTTGGTCAGCTGAACTCCCTATTCACCCAACCTGAATTTATTCTAGGCTCAGGTATTTCTTGCTTATTCCATGGCAGATATTTCTTCCCTGGCCTTTTAAAGATTGTTGATATCTTTTCTTTATTACTCTTTATTTTTCTTTTTCCCTTTATATTATTATTTTCTTTTTTCTGTTTCATTTTGTTTTTTTATTGTTTCTGTTGGGTCTCCCAGTTTATGAAGCACAGAAGAAAAGGATGCATAGAGACAATAAGTGATGCAATGGTTTATCAGGGACAGGGGTGGGGAGGGGAAGGCAATTGGGGAGTAGATAATGAATGTGGGAGGGTGGGGAGAGCATTAAAGTGGATTGTGATGTCTATACATACACCTCTTTAGAAGCGACTTAACTTTGGAAGTGAATACTATATCAAGAAAACTACTAGCATGTACACTGGTACAGATAAGAGCTCACAACACAGGGAATCCAGGACAGATAAACCCCTCAGGACCAATAATAAGAATATTGATATCAGGAGGGTAGGAGGGGGGAGAAACGGAGAACCGAATACAATGATGAACATAGAAGCTCCTCCAAGGGGGGTGAACAATAGAAAAATGGGTGAAGTGTAAGACATGAAAAAAAATTATAAATTATCAAGGGTT